ACCACCACTGTAACAAATTTGTTGCTACCTCCCATAATTCAATATTTTATAAAGTATATAAAAATACAATAATACCATACAAATATGTTTGTATGGTACTATTATTTTATTTATAAATAAAGCTTTTGAAATAAATTAAAATAAAAAATGAATTCTGATTACATACCTCATATATCCCATTAGATAGTCTCATATGTGCTCTTGAATATGCATAGCTTTCTATGGGGACCATTTCTCTACCAATTTAGACATGTAACTCTGTTACTGAAAGCCCTAAATGTTCTATCTCAGCCTCTATAGTGTTCAGTTTCAGGGGATAATATCAAGCATTTCCCAAAATATTAGTTCCAATTTACATTCCAGCAGTGTATGAACATTCAAGTTGCTTCTCTTTCTCACCAACACCTGACATATTGGCTATTTTATAGTTTGGTATGTATTTTTTCTTTGTTGTACTGGTTTCATTTTAAAGTATTTTTTAACACCAAAGAAAACTAAAACATCAATGACAATAAAGGAGCAACCCTCAGAATAGAATCTTTTCTTTCTCAATACAAAGTTTCTCACGGTCTTCCAATTTTAAAGAACAAAGTTTATCAGTTCTCTGTTCTTAATGTTGCTATGTTTCAATGAACAATGTTTCTAATATTATGTTTCTTGATAAAGAACAGGACTGATTCCACAATTTTGCAGAAATTCTCATGAACAGAAGAACAGAAGGCTGTTTTTATAGAGTTGCAGTATTGAGAAGCCTAGGTTTTTGAAATTTTATCAGCGACCTTGAGAGAATGTGCTATCAGAAATCATATCAGATACTACAAGACCAAGCACGTAGTGTTTAATCTGGGAGAGATCAAAATGCTTTCTATGCTAAAAGGGCCTCAGGAAGAGCTGGTCGGAATTTTCTCCCACTCTGTTAGAGCTCTACAAAATTCTCTTGCCTGCTCAGTAATGTATTTTTATACATTTTTGCAGTATTACGCATTTTGAGGTTTCTTAGTGGGTACATAAAAGGTTACAATTGTCATATCTTGAAGATAATGAACAAATTGCAATAAAATAAATGGAATAGCAGATAAAAACATGTGTCACCTTTATTAAGAGGGGAAAATGAATTGCAGGATATTGCTCATTATGAGAATGAAATGGGAGTAACAGAAACCCAGATTTAAGCAAACTATCCATCTGCTTAGCTGCCTGTCCAGTCTAGAAGAAGCACAGAGAGCCTTCAAGTTGCCCTACTTGAACTTTCTTTAAAGGTAAGTAAATATCAGGAGTAGAAAAGGATATTATGAAATGTCTGCTAGTGCCATTTGCCTAATTCTCTGGTACGTTATTCCTTTCTTTCTGAATGAAATATAACTAGTTTAGGGATATTTTTGTTTATCTAATCATATGCATTGAAAAACATTTCTAAGTTTGTGGTTGATTTTTGACTTTGGCTTATTGTGATTTTATTATTGATACATTTTTTTTCAATTTCAATATAGTCAGATCTTGTTTGAGAATTTTTCCTTAGAAATGACCTAAGGAAGGAAGGATTAAGAGACCTGAATGAAAGAAGATACACATTGTGTTCCAGGTTCAGATTCAAAATTGTAAAGAACGAATTCTCCATAAAATAAAATATTGATTCACTACAATCCCAATCAAGACACTTCGCATGCTTTTTTAGTAAAGCCTGACTAACAGGTCTTAATTACCAGAGATAAAGAATAAGAGAAGGCCTGAAAAAATATGTAAGGAACATTTTAACTGCAGCTTTATTACACGAAAATGGGACTTGCTATCTCCTTTTCTTTTCTTTTTTCAGGAAATCACCCACCCTAGGGGTTTGAAAGAAAATTGAACAGACATATGTTTCCATTACACGTTAAAGTTCTTTAAAAATGAGCATTTCTTTCCTTTAACTGTATTTCGGTTTAACTTGGTGATCCTCCTCCCTCTAAACGAGGGAAGGACCTCCTGCTTTCCCCATCACAGGGAGGGGGCGGAGCATCCTCTAGAAGCTTGGAAGTGAGCCGTCCCTGGCCAGTCTTGGGGGAGGAGCCGCATTACAGACAGACTTCGGAGGCCTCCGCCGAAGGGAGAGGAGAAGAAGCTTGGAGGTAATGGCTGTCGTAAAAGCTAGTTATTTTTCGAGATTTCTGGAGACTTGGCAGTAAAGGTGAGAAAAGAAGGGACTGTTGCTTTGGAGTGGTGGGAGAGGAGTGTCGTTTTGTGAGAGTCGTTGTTTCTGTGAGGGAATTAATATCTGGATTTTGTATTCCTTCCAGCTATTTTAAAAGTCCACTCTTTAAAAGTGGGGGAGGTGATCAGATTACACCTGCGGAAAAAATACCTCATGAGGTTGCAAAAGCTAACTGTTGAATAGGGCATTTTATGTTTCAGTCAGAAAGCAGTGGTAACAGAAAAATGATGAAACAAAACTTGAGAAATTAATGTTCCTTATTTTGAAAAAAAAAGAGATTATGATAATCCCAAATGAAAAATGAAGTTATTAGTTGGGAGTGTTGACTTTTTATATTTCTTTGGTTGTTGATGGGGTTTCTAACAAATCTTACTGTCTGGGTGGAGTTTGTATAGCAATAATCTGAAGTAATATATATCACTGTGCAAGTTTAAGTACTTCTCGCAATAAGAAGTTTGGTTATCTGGCTGTTAAGAGAATGATGTATTCCTATTTGTACTGTAATATGAAAAATATCTGAAAGACCGTAAACTGAAGAATAATAAACATATTGATATAATAGAACACAACAATATATGTAGTAATAAATGATGTCTAAGGAAAAAAGAGGAAATTTTCCACTTCTTTTCCCACATTTCACTTAGCATGTAGAACCTGTGTCACCATAAAAAATAACTGAGGTAAGAATTTTTAAAACATGGGGGAAAAAAACTGCCTGCACAAAAAAATGTGTAAACATATAGAAACATGGAAAGATATTCAAATATGTTGATGAATAAATGTAATTTCAAATTGTGTATTCTAATATATACACATCAGAGTGAGGAAAGGGCATATATATACATATATATGAATACAGTATTTTAAATTAAATATATATGATGAAATTTCATATATATGATTAGGGAAAAATCAAGGGGATTAGACTCAAAAATAAGCAGTGAACAATTCAGGGGTTGGGATATGAAGCTTGTGTATTTTCTTCTTTAGGTTTTATGTACCTTTATGGTTTTTTTGAAACACATAGTGGAGCTGAAAGAGAAAAATCCATTTTGTTACAGACATAGATACCCACACACACTCCATTGTTTTTAGCTAAAAGTGGATTTTTCTGTGGATCTGAGAAGGCTGGTTATCTGGTTGCTTATGCTCTTCTTGCAGTTCAAATGTTTAGACTGTTATCCAGACTTTGGTTCAAGCCAAAGATATTTATTTGTATTTTTATATAATCTCGAGAAAGAATTCAAGAAATGTTTAAAATATTGTGAAATAGTCATGTAGGCTCTTACATGCATAATTTTGAATACTATGCAGCTGTAAAAAGAATAAGCTAATGCAGTGAACTAAATGCAAAAATAAGAAAGGATGTGGGAAGTATACTCTAAAAATAAGCAAATTGCCGAATGGCCTGTAATATTAGTACAATGTACACAAGAAAAATTTGGAAATATACATGCTACTTTATTATTTGGGCATATGAGTGTAATTGGAGACAGAACAGTTCAACCTTTTATATATTACATTTCTCCATTTAAAAAATCTTATTTTGAAGAGAGTAAGCTTCAGTAATTTTCATTATGAAAAGATGAGATAAAGCTTTAGAAATACAGAATAATCTTGTAAAAGTAATTCATAAAAAGATGACGCAGAAAATATTTATTGATGTGGAAAGATGTTAAAATTTATCCTTGGTGGGGATAAAGGTCTGCTTTCAAAAAAATGCACATTTATAAATATGTATTAAAAAATCTGTAAATGTATAAAACAATCCATTACATTTTGACCATTATTCTGGGGATTTGCTTTCTTTCTTGAAATAATCAAAAAATGAAGATATACAGTATGCATGAGAGATATTATAAGAGCAAGCATTAAAATGGGGAAATATGATCCCATTTTTCTGCAACACACACACAACTCTTCAGTTGAAAATGAAAAAATGTACAAGCCTGAGAAGGCTACTGTCTGGAGGGCTGTAGTTCCCACCCTTTCTCACCAAGGACCTGAGTGTCTGCAGTTCTGGTTCTAGTCACAAGATGGCGCTTGCCAGGTATTCAAAATTTTCTTCCAGGCAACCATTTTTATTAAGTGGACAAACAAAGCAATGAAATGTATTTTCTGTTAACAGATTATGAGACAATATGTAGAGTGTGATTGCAGTTCCGGTGAAATATTACACATATATAAAATATAAAAAAGCACGAGGACTGATGTGAGAATTCACAACAGAAAGCACTTAAAAAATCTAGCCACTCAGATTTGGCCTGTAGAGAGACACAAGGCAA